TTTTAAATATAATAGCATAATTCTTAAATATATTAAAAAATGTATAATACAAATGTTTTACACGTATCGTCGCGTAATGTTTGTACGATGGCACATCTTTGCTGTTATTCTTATCCGTAAACATTAATTTGTTTTTGAACAAAAATAAATAACGCTCAGTTGGTTCCTGCTCACCTTCCCAAACCAAAAATGAATCCTAAAAAGAATATATCGGAATTTAGAAGTTTAATTTGAACTAAAGTTCTCAACAATCATATACATTAAACTACAAAATGAAATGTTCAATTAAAAATTTTAAAAATTAAACATCTAATACAAATTGTTTAAATTATTTTCAATGTAAAAATTTCAAACTTTTATTTTGAATTGTTATTAAACATTCGATTATTTGCATGCGAAATAATTATTGCCAGAATCAGAAAAAGAATCTTGAAAGTTTTCTTTTTTTTTTTTAATAATTAAAGCAAACGAAATTGTGTTTTCATTGATTTACATTATAACATTTAAAAGTTGATTGTTTAAATTCATTTAAATTAAAAAAGGATGAAATGCGGGAAATATTAAATTTTGGGACAATTTTATAATTTCTCTTGTAATAGAAAAAATTTTAGAATTTTTGTCACAAAATTATATTTTAAAATATCATTGTTAATGGTTTCAATTGTCTGATCTCACTCTTCTCATCCTAATATTGTATTTAAATCAACAAAAAAAAAAAGCAATTGAATTCTAACTGACATGTCGATAAAGTCGTCCAAGTTTATTTAGATCACCCGGATATTGCTCAATATTTCTGATATATGCCATATCGGTGACACGTTCCGGTACTGACATCATTAATTCAAGTGCTTTTTGCATTGTTTTTGTGTCAAGTTTAGCGCGTGACGCATATTTGACAAATTCCTCAAATTGAAGAGATAATGAAAAATTGAGATATTTTGAGAATGAAAAGCGTAAGTAATTGAATTGAAATGGAATGATAAAATTTTTGAGTACCATTGAAGTTTTTAATATTCTTGCTCAGATTTTCCTTTCTTTCTTCAATCATCTTCAAATTGATTTTAAAATAAAATTTTGTTTTAATAAATTTTGAGTATATTTAACATTTTGTGAAATTAAAGTTTATCAATTCCAAAGGAAACGAATTGAAATTATTTCAATTGTTGTTTAAAATTTGTTTTTAACTTTTCAAGGAATTTATTTGAATGCTGGAATTACCTTGAAGTAATTTTGATACTGAACAATACGATCAGCAACATTTTGCAGATGCTCTTGGAATGTTTTTGCACCAGCTTCTATTTTATTACTCAAATCCTGAATATTATAAAAATGTTTTTAAGTGGAGATTAAAAACTTTTGTTTAAATATTCAAATAAGATTTGAAGGAAGGATGAGTCAGGAAAGCAAAGTTTTAAGATAAATTAATATTTGTTATATCTTATAATGATTCATTTTTAATTTTTTGCGAACAAAATTGCTTCGAGAATAACAGAACAAAAAATTGACTGAACAAAGGAGCATTGGATAATAAATAATTTCAAAAAAATAGGCAATTA